TGAAGAGTGAATCAGTTAACCAAGAAATTAAATGGGTGTGGCCTTAAGCTAAATATTCATTTAGGACAAAAGATGAAGAGGTGTCACTGACTGTAGCATTTCCCTTCCCGGTCTGCCTTGCGGTGACCTGTCCTGGTAGTCCGTGCAAACTCAGAAGCTGCGATTCAGAAGCTAACGAGACTATCACTATGCAGTCCTATTGCGAGTCTATGAAAAGAGTTCAAGAGGTGCGTATCGGTTTTCCTGGTTCACGCTACAGTATTCTGGCCCTGATACTAAACACTAACCACACAAGGCGGCAAACGTAAAAAGTGTACCATCCTCCATGTGCGTAAATCAAGGAGAATACCACAATTCATGTATCAAATGTTTTCAGAACCCCTTGAGGTGAGCTCCCAGCATCCCTATCTCGGGATCATCTTGTCGCACGACCTAAAGTGGAAGCCACATGTTGACAGTATCACCGCCAAGGCGAACAGCACACTAGGATTCCTGAAGAGAAACATAAGGGGGGCAAACAAGGAGGTTCGGAAAAGGGCATACACTACTCTAGTCAGACCAAAGTTGGAGTATTCTTCAGCTGTCTGGGACCCACAGGTACGCAATCATGCACAATCAAACACATTGATAGAGAAGTTGGAATCTGTACAGCGACGAGCAGTTAGGTTTGTATGTGGGGATTACAGGTACTCAACTAGTGTAACACAACTCCGAACATCACTTGGCCTTCCCACACTGCAGCAGCGCAGAAAACAAGCACGTTTAACACTTATGTGAAGTCCGTCCACCAGTTGGCAGCAGTACCCATACACGACTACTTGACACTGAACACAAATACAACTAGAGGTCATCCCTTCCGCTTTATTACTCTTACAACAAAGACAGAGACATTTAGAACTAGCTATTTCCCTAGAACAACCATAGAATGGAATGACCTCCCGTCTCAAGTAGTTACTGCCAAGTCACTTGATTTGTTTAAACGGGGGCTGGCACAACACATGGGCCTCCCCCAACCCCATATGTAAATATTATGTATACTTAGTGTGGCCAACACATCATTTTTCTTCTTATATTTTTGTATGCACAAGTTTTGTTAAGTTTATTGAGCACGGTTGCACCACCACCACCGGCCACACTGAGGCGGGCACCTGGACGTGATGTCCCTTGCGGGATTTTGTCCAGTATTGCATAAGATAAGATAAGATAAGATAATGGAAAGTGAGGTAAGCACAGACAAACTCTAACTTATCACTATCGTGTGTGTATACTTCCTGGACATGCTTGAAGGTACGTATATCAGTGAGTACCTGCCAGCATGGCCATGGGTGGCAAGAAAACACAATACATGTATTGTACTTATTGATCGATGTACCACTAAAGTCAAAATGTAAAGGCCTCTTATTTGCACATCAGAAAATTCGGAGTCTTGTAAGAAAGAAACCCCAGCTAGAAGCTTTTCTTGATAGTAGTAAAACTGACATTTTCGCTGCGACTAAGACAATGTTGGATGATAGTATCACTGATGCGCTTGTCTCCATTGATTCATACAACGTACTTAGAAATGACCGTGGGAGTCGGCACGGAGGCGGTGTTGCACTTTATATTTCTAACAAAATCCCCTTTAGAGCTCGCCCAGACTTAGAAATCCCTGGCCTTGAGGCCGTATGGGCTGAACTAATTCCACCTTCTCGTAAGAAAATATTGATTAGTAGTATGTACCGCCCTCCATCCGATGATCATGAGTTCTTTGAGAAATTTGATGAATGTATGCTGACGAGGATAAAGAAGTCATTGTAATGGGAGATTTGAATTGTGACTGGTCAACCAATGACAACACAGGCCCAATAGGAAAGCTACGATTCTTATGTATGTTGCACCAGATGGACAACATCATATCTTCACCAACTAGAGTCACTGACACTTCCAGCACTTCAATAGACGTCATCTTAACGAACGACAAAGCACACCTACACAACCAGGGGACATATGAGGGGGGCTTTAGTGATCACACCATGGTCTATACTTACCATAGAAGCAAGAGCCCTAAGTCACAACCCACAGTCACAAGCAGAAGGGTATACAAATCTTTCAATGAAGAGAAATTCAAGCATGACTTAGCACAGGTACCATGACACACCTTAGACGCCCTTCCTACCGTAGATGAACAACTGGAAACATGGCAGGACTTGGTAAGCAACGTAGCCAATTTACATGCTCCCATTGAGAAAATGAAAATAAGAGGTACACCTGCACCTTGGCTGACTAACGACCTACGCCATTTCATTAACCTAAGAGGTCACATGTACCGACAGGCAAAGCGCTCTGGTACTAGTGAGGACCTTGCTAACTACAAGGTAATGAAGAACAGGGTTAACTACATGTGCAGGATGGCTAAAAAAGATCATGCCTCTCAGAGGGAAGCAAGGGGCTAGCATCTGGCCTAAGCACATAGGCAGTACGCATCTGTAAAAAAGTGTGTCCTAGCTCCCCAATTTTGGGACGTAAAAAAAGTCAAGCCCCTTTCATTGTATCTTAGAACCGCAACGACATGTTTCCTACCAGGTAACTTGCATCGTAAAGCCAATCCGTGGATCTTCCAGCCAGCTCATCTAGCTACACTGAATCAGCTCCATCCGTTTAAAAAACGGTCCCTGAAGTGTGGGTTTCCAAGAAGCTGACCAGTGAATTTTAACCCTGACTAACGTTATTATATTAACCCCGAACTGGCTGGAATCTCCAGAGTTTTTTTTATGCAAGTCGACCCGGATAACAAAGTCCAAACGGTTCCAAATACTGTAAATGTGCTTTGAAAAAAAAAAGCATGTAATTGCAGGTTGGTATCACGATTGCTACTATTAGAAACGCAAGAAACGAAGCGAGTGGCATTAATAACGCCTGAAAGCAGAAATGAGACATGTCCGCACACGAACAGGGTCATGTCCGCACTTGAAGCCAGCCAACACAAAGGTGGCGGTCAGGTAAAAATTCGAACCCCGGGCAAAACTGAGCAAAAAGAGGGAAATTTCCAACACTAAAGACTTTAGCAACCTTCTATGGCAACCCAACACTCCCCCAAGCTAGTAGGTTTTGTTTCGAGGCCATTTCTTGTCAACATCTTCAAACACTCCCAAGCTCGTAAGTTGCATCCCCCCAAGATAACGACAGAAGTCTCAAGCCCACAAAATGCATGAAAATTTGCGGCAGCGATAGCCACGTACCTTCTACGATAGCTCAACAGAGTCATGAACACATGGGGAGAGTTTAAACGAGAGAAATGACCAACAACCGCGACCAAGAAAGGACAAAATCCCCAAAATGAGGGACGAACACCGAACGCGGCCTATCACTAGACGGAATCTGGGGTTTGGGGGTTTCTCTCACACATATTCTCTGGGAGTATATTCTTCCGCAGGAAACTTTCTCAGTAAAATCACAAAACTAAACATCATGGCGAGAGAAAAAAAATCTAGTCTTAACGTGACACAAAATTTCTCTGTAAAAAAACGTTAATAGTATTCGATTCTTTTAAATCAAATGGTTGAACGCGAAGGGTACTACTTTCTGCCAGCGATTGAATATAGAGGAGATACGGTAGCCCAATAGCCTGGGTACCATTCGGTTTTTCGCTGCGCAACGCTTCAGAAAAATCACGATCGTTGTGCAGCCGGATCCGGATGGTACCCAGGCTAGAGCCCAAGTTGTGACCGGCAAATTCTTCACCCAGTCATATCCATCCGCAGATCCTTTCTTTTTTAATAAGCAACAAAGTTGATTCTTGTTTGATTACGACATTCCTAATAATTACTTAGCGGTGTCAATGATTTTAGAATTAAAGAAAATTCTGCAGCGTCCAATTAAAAGGGTGATATAAACTTGTACTACTTTGTGTTGTATGGATTTTTGAGTGATACGGCAGACAGATGTAGAGGATAGGTATGTAGGATTTGCGGACATCCTTTTGATTGAAATCTCCCATTCATTTTTTTGCGGGATCCCCCAAGATAACCATCATTGAGCTCACCTGCCTGGAGTGGCCGTCACGTGACCAACCCGGAAGTCAGGCTTGAAAAGAATAGAGGAACTTCGGAAGTTCCCTTGTGGTGTGTGGCGGTTTCTCCAGGCCAAACTCGCATAAGCCTTATTTTTTATATTATTTCACTTTATTATCCTCAGGTCCATAAAAGTGACATCTAAGCTTGTGCGATTTGTGTAGTTACTATATAACGTTACACATGTTACATTATTGAGAACTTCACACTGACCCACCCTCCATAACTTAACCACAGGAGTTTTTCAGTACATTGTACATAGGTTGAATGTTGACCAGTCTGACATTATTTGCTGCTGTGTGTTGATACACACACAGGGAGTCCATTCGTGACACCTGCTGTGTTGTGTTGCCCTTGGGACTCTCACTGATGCTTGTGGTTAACTCAACTTATTAGAAACATCCAGAAACAAGGGACACATTTCCACATTCTTTTTGTTCATTTTGTTGTGAACAGCGAATCAAAAGGAGCCGACACTGTGTTGTTCGTCTTGTTACGGTACCTGTGCCCAACAAAAGCACCTGTGACCTTCTGACCTTGTAACCAAAATGGCGGATGGAGCGGTAACTACATAACTGTTTGTCTGACATTTGCCTTTTACAGAGAATGCAGGAAAACTGCATCAGAATGGACTAAATCTGGCCCAGCAGACTTAGGACATCACCAGGATACACCGGTATGTTTCATAACAGCAGAACTACAGCAGAAAAACTCATGGAGGAGAAAGAAAAGGTTGGTGAAACTCTTCACAAGTCCACAGTCAGCGAGAACAAACATGGCTACTACTAGTACTAGCCTTACTGCACCAAGTAGAAAAATGCACCGTGAACCAATAGAAGCCTGGAATAATGATGATCACTTCTGAATCAATTGTCCAACTTTTGCAACAAGTCAAATTTGAAAGCTTTATAAAAACCCTTCCTTAGATTTCATTGTAATAATAATGTGTTGGATGTTGGCAATGAACACAGTCAATGTATTAGTAAGACTAATCAAAAGTATTCGGAGCATGAAAGTAGTTTTGACGATTCTGATGACTTCGTTTACGATTTGTACAGGAGCTGAGAAAAGCCGCCGGGCGAGGTGAGGAGGACAGAGTTAAACAGCTCCTTGCTGAGGGAGTCAATGTCAATGCTGCTGACAACGGCGTAAGTTATTATATAACATTACATAACAAATTCAAGAAAGGATTTTGAAACACTTAATAATAGGTTCCTTTTCAAGTCTGCATTTTTACAGATGAAATTGATCTTTACATCAGAACACCTTTTTGTGCTACTGATTGTCTTATTTAAAGTTCATATTTATATTGTGAAAAGTGTTTATATCTAAGTGCATCTTCAACAATTTTCTTCATGTCATCCATGTTCTTATACTATACTGGAAGTTCCTGGAAGGTTGCGAAGGCACATTTAGTACATGTCTGAACCCTAGTCTTACATGGAGCTCCTCTACTCTTGTCTCTGTACAGAGATGGACTGCTCTCCACCAAGCATCCATGTACGGCCACACAGGAACTGTACAGGCTTTACTCACAGCTGGAGCAACAATCGAAGCACGAAGCGACATGGTAACTTTTCTTGAGTCTGTCTAACTGCGCCTGTCCTTAGTTTGTAGTAAAGGTGTAGTAAATGAAAAGTCACTGATGCATCCGTGTGTTGTTGTGACTGTCAGGTACTCATAGGAACCATTTGTTTATTTTTATTTTCCTTTGACCTGTCCATTGACCCCAACTTGACCCCATTCCTTGCCAATATATATATAACATACATGTATTTGAAACTTAGTTTTCCTTTCATCATTTAAGTTGGTTACAGATGACCTTGATCTTTACATCAGATTACCTATTTCGTTGTGCTAGTAATATATAATGAAGTACAAGTACACCTTAAGTTTTTATTTAACATCTTAAACTTCTTCATGTTATCCAATGTACTTACACTATACGGGAAGTTCCTGGAAGGCTGCGAAGATCACCGTTGGTACAAGTACATGTCTGAACCCTAAGCTTACATGGAGCTCCTCTACTCTTGTCTCTGTACAGGGATGGACTGCTCTCAGATTACTCTGCATCCATCAATGGCCACACAGGAACTGTACAGGCTTTACTCACAGCTGGAGCAACAGTCGATGCACGAGACTACTTGGTAACTTTGCTGTTTACGTCAGTGTCTGTCTAACTGTCCCTGTCCTCAGTTTCTATAAAGGACCCACAAGATATAGTCCTGTCTTTACGGTGTCCTGACTATCAGATACTGTACTATAATCATGGGAACTGTACAGGCTTCACTTACAGCTGAAGATTACATAATTTGGTACATGTAACATGTCTGTATCGGTTGGAGCCTTACTTGTGTTGTCCCAACTTTAGGGCTAAACATTTGTTTTGAGCCATGTCAGGACTTGTGTGTGGGACTAAAGGGGCCTGTGTAGTCATTTGGTTACATGGCCAGACTGTTATGTTCAGTGTGTAGATACTTTAAAATTTGACCATCTCACACTTTGCTGTACCTACAGAATGAGACTCCCCTTCATGCAGCAGCAAAGAAAGGACACCCTGAGTGTGTCAGAGTACTGCTGAGGGCTGGAGCCAACACTGTTATTAGGAACAGTGTAAGTATGCTTTTTACCTCCATGAAAAATGGAGGTATTGTTTTTGGCATGTGTGTCTGTGTGTGTGTCTGTCTGTGTGTGTGTGTGTGTGTGTGTGTGTTTGTGTTTCCGCACATTTGTAGTCAGCATAACTTCATAACGCCTTTATGAATTATGTTGACATTTGGTAAGTTGGTAAGTCTTAGGAAGACAAAGGTCAAGGTCAAATATGGGCCTCCTAGTGGATGACCTTGGTACTGCACACACAGACAGACACACAGACAGACAGACACACAGACAGGTCAAAAACAATACCTCCATTTTTCATGGAGGTAACAAGAGCTTGATGATCTCATACCTTCGTCATGTATTAGTTTGGGTTATCAGAATTGTGCTGCTGTAAATAGTTTGACTTTTTGTTTTGCATGTGAGTGGCACCATACAGTTTGAGCATCTGGTCACCTGAACTACAGGGGCTAGAATAGTGGTGTCAACAAAATTAAATCTTCATGCCTGGCGCCATCTAACCTTACTGGAATACCCAAATTCAAACTTAACCTTCTTTTCCACACTACAAACTACCTACACCTTCGAGTTTGTGCCTAGTGCTGACCAGAAATGGCAGTGCTGGGCCAACAATGAGACCACTAACGCTGCAACATTTCCATCTCCTTTTGCAGACGTTTCCAAGCACAACATGGCGGTTGTTGGTGGCTCCATTGGCAACACCTGGCAGCCATGGACAGCAGAGTCTCGGAGAAGGGATGCTGAAAAGGTGGAAGGTTTTCTTTCCGCCTTATCAGCTGACCTTTCAGAGACCGCAAGGAAGACGAAGCTAAACAACTATCTTGCTTCAAACAGGTTGCGCCAGCTGGGAATGCCACGTATTGGCAAGTTTGCAGAGCTCCAGCGCCCAGATCCACTGCATGCTGAGATCAACTCTGCATCACACTATCTGGATCTCCTCTACCATGAGGCAGTTTCACGTGGTGATGACTGTTTCTACAGGTTTCTGGACATCCTCCAAGCTCCTGTTCACTGCACAGAGCTCACCCGAGGGGTGTCTGCTGAAGTTGCACCGAAAGGTGGCAATGACAGGTTGGGCGTCGGTGCACGGGCTCGTACCTCTGCATCTGTTGCAAGTGCTGCCGAGGCATTCTTGCATTCAATGCAAAGCCTAACTGATGACTTGCCCCAACAGGGTGCACAGCCTTTAGGTCTTGGTTTGAAGTCCTTGGCTAAAGACCTTCAGGACCACTTCAGCAGTGAAACCACCAGGCACAACAAGTGCCCAACCCGACTTATCGGTGAGCATGCAGTAATGCTGGAGGGTTTTGGTTACAGGCTTGTGGACAGTCTGAAGGTGCCAGGTGAGACTGCTACCCAGGAACTGCGGCGCTTGGTTCTCGGCAAAGTTGGCGAATGTTTAAGAGATGCAGCCTCTCTTTTCAGCCAGGTGCAGGGTGATGAAGGAGACTTGCAGACTCTTGAACTAACCTGTAACCGCTATTACAATCTGTTGTGCCTTTTCCTGCCAGGTTCAGTGTCCCTTTCTGTTTGGACTCTAGCGAAGGCCATCCCATACCATGCCAGGATTCTGTGGAACAATACCGTGTGGGATATGGCATTCTTTCTTTGCAGGCTAAAGAGTCCAAGCATTCCGCACTTAAGGCAGACCTCAGCCTGACAAACAGGTCAAAGAGCCGTGGGCAGATGAACAAATGGGTTCAAGTCTTCAGGAGTAACTTCATCCGCTCCTTCTACCTTGAAGAATACTGCCCTTCTCCACCAGCCTATAACCCGAACTTCCATTGCAGGGTTCCAAAACATGCAGGTCAGGCTGGTCACTGTCTCTGTGGACGTGAGATGTGCAACGAGGATGACGAGTTGTGTAGCACATGTGAGAAGGCATGTGCCGTTGTTGAGTGTGCTGATGATGGAAACCTTTCTCCCACAGTCACTATGCTACTAAAACCTCATGAGTGCAGTGTCTGCAGGGAGAGGTTTGCGGATGGCTGTGCACTCACAGCCCACAGTGCTACACACCGATCGTCATCAGGGACTCGTATTGATCCTCGTTCTCTCACCGTTGCGCAGATGCGGGAAGAATGTAGGCGGCACGGACTGGCAGTTGGGGGAAATAGAGCAGAGCTACTAAGAAGGCTGGAGGGACTATTTTCATTGAATTGTTAATGTCTTGTCATTGTTAATGTCTGAAATGTTGAAAGGGAGGCCATTCAGCAGTTTGGCCCACACACAGCAAATTACCTTTACCCCTCAAGTACGGACTGCACATTAGTCCTTAAAAAGGACTGTGCATGTTCCGAAAGAGGGGGTTTCCCTTTAGGGACTGAATAGAGGGGGTTCCCTTTAGGGTGTGTGTGGCTCCACTCACAAAGGGAGGCCATGAAGATGGCCCGCACACATTAAAATTACCCTTTACCTCCCCAGTGGGGCTGAGGACCGGTGGACCCTATCCCCACCAATGGCCCTCAGTCTGTCCCGCTGGGAGGGTTTCCCTGACCATGGGTGTGTGCGTGGGCAGTGGACAGTCTAGCGCTGTACGAGGTAAGGACGACCTCGCCCTCCACGAGTTCTGCGACTCCACTGGTGCCAGCTGTATCGGCTCTGCCTTTCTAGCCGGCTTTGCCTTTCTGCTGGATCACACCGGTGGGGTGGAGAGGGGGGGCTTGCTATGTGGGAAACAGCCTGTCCCCCAAATATCTCTCTTCTATTCCCAGGCTAGAACTTCCCTCTACGTCCTTGTACTTATTTGTTTTGTGTATGTTCATGTCCTTATATACTGATGCATTTCCCCCTCATATCAATACACAGGGTCTATTAACATTATTCACTTTTTCCCTCGTATACTAAATCAGATGCATTTTCCCCCTCATGTACTGATAACATTGTCTGACAACACTTTTTCCCTCGTATACTAAATCAGATGCTTTTCCCCTCA